GGATTTGAGCAAAAGGCATGCTATAAAGTCAACCGCTCTTCGAAAGGAGTTTAGCTATAGAAAGGATGCATCCTTATATATTAGCACTTCTTTGTTCAGCTTTTTCCACCAGAGGATGGACTCTTGAGAACCAAATACCATCATCTCAGTAAATTAGTCTACTCGACACGAATTTTCAATCATGTTAACCTTTCATCCATGTGAACTATTTATGTATAAAAGCTTCCATTCTATTTCAGGAATACTTTTCTTGGGTGTATCATCCATCTTTATACGTTATGATAGATTATTTGAATAAATCATTAGATGCCTCAAAAGTTAAACAAGACCACAAAAAAAGAAAACGCCACCAATCATTGTATAAAATGTGTATGTAAAGTAGTCACTTTGAGCTAAAAATGTTCTCTTTTTCAAAAGAATTAGATCATTTAATAGTGATTCAAATGGCATTACAACTTACTTTTCTTTTGGTTCACATATTTATAGGAAAATATTGTGGCCAAGGCTTAATGTAGAAACAAACATTAATTATGAAAGGTGCAGGAAAATAACAAGGCTGCAAATAGTCCTTGTATATCCTGTTTTGACTTTGCATGCCATTTCTCTCTCAGAAATCTGAGCTATGTACAAAGTTGGTGTAGGCTGTGTCCTGACAATAGCAGGGTTGTAGTGGAAACTGTCTTCACTACCTAAGTTATGGGACCCAATGCAGTGAATAGCATACAAGCTGTGGGTCTGCCTGCCCTAAATTATGCTTGTGCATGTGACCCTATCATTATTCCCAGAATCTGTGCCCTTTGCCCTTGATCTCATTTCTCCAGGATTTAGACCAGTGTCAGAGCCTTGGCATGCTACACAATAGTGACCTTGATTCCCCAACTTTGCTGGGGGTAGAAAAAGTGAATTTAAATCTAGTGTTGAAATTATATGGGATATTTTGTAACTATGATTGTCAAATTGCTCCCAATGTAGAAGAAGCCCTAGCCCTCTGCCAGAGACATCTGTCTTTCAGTTTGGCTCAGGGTTTCTGGTCTTAAGAGTAGCTAATGCATTTGTGATAAAAGACTGAATCTTTGTTGTTGCATTTGGTGCAGGGGGAAATTCAGGAGATTCTCCTTATTGTTAACTTTTCAGATATTATTTTTAAAGCTTTGTCTGATCATCAAAATAAAAGACTTTCAGGAAAAAAAAACCTCAAAAAAATCAAGACACTGCTTGGCAAAAGATACTAGGATAAAGATGGTGAACGTTTAGTGCTTGATGGATGAACAAGTGGTTAGAGGGTGTAATTCGGAACCAAGAGGCACCACCCCATGGCTGGTCCTGAGCCCCTTTGGGGGAAAAGCAGTCTTTAATTACATCTGGAACTCATTAATTCTTTTTGGAACCTCTTTCCAGATCAGCTCCCCCATCAGCCTCCCATTGAGCAACAGAAATTCCAGATGGTTCCCTCCATATGCCAGTGCTCATTCTCTCAAGTAGGATAGATTGGTCACTGACAGAATAGGATAGGATAGCAGTGGCCAAGACAGGACAAGGTGGAAGTCATCAGGCCACAGGTAAATTAGGGGTGGTCCATCATTTATATTATTGAGTTGTATAAGTAACTATTTCTGAGGGATTTCTCTGAAATATCTTGAATAATTTTATGGAAAGGATGCTACTTCTAGAGACTGTGGCATGTGCACGCCAGCTTTCCATACCTGGAAAAAAAGGGAAAGACTCTGTAACCGTTAGTATGACTGAGGATTGGTCATTTTGGTCCTGCAGCTGATCTTCTCTGGGGGCTGCATTAGGGTGAATTATTTTGCTTGTGCCACTAGCAAATATAGTTGAAATCTCTATTACTGTAATACAAGAGGAATGCTTTTATAAAACTCTCTATAGGGCATGTGTTTATTTTATTTTGGCAAAATTTTGTTATAATAGGCACATTAATAGATTTTCCAGTTCGAATCTGCTGGGAATAAAAACAGGGTCAACCTCTACATAATTAAAGAGTATGCTATCACCTCAAGTGTATCACAGTATATTTATTTGTTTATACATCTATCTTCATCTGATGGTGTGAAACATGTTATTCATCTTTGAATTCCCATCACTCAACAAGATTTGACATACCATGGCAAAGAAAGAAGAAGAGGTAGAGAGATGGATTCAGGGAATATGAAAAGTGTGACACCAAGAAACAAGAGCAATGTTTCCACTCTTGTTTTCATCCTATACTTTTGCTCTGATAACTGTTGGACTTTATGTGCATACACACATGCCTGTGTTTGTGTGTGTGTATTGTGTGTGGTGTGTGTATGCTGCTAGGTGTTATGTTTTTGAACACCTACTATATGCTAGATATTGTTCTAGATCCTGAGAAAATAAAAGTGAGGATGGCAACCACGATCTCAGTTCTCATGCGGTTATAGTAGTCTACCTGTGATTCATGGAAAATTTGTTGGTATATTTGGAGTCAATAGGGCAATTAAAAGGAAAAATTTCTTCTAAGAGGGTATGTGATAAAGACCAAAGAAAAAAATTTAAATTCTGTGTACTTGGCTCATATTTTATCTGAGAAACATGTTCAAAGCCTCCTGGTAACATATTCTTATGTGTGTATGTGAGTGCTCTGTAGATGACAGAATGCATTTATTGAACCAGTTTTATTGTTTTGTACAATCAGGTTCATTAGCCGAATATTAGTAGAATGGCCTTTAACCGGAATAGATGAAAGGCATTTGTATCAAACTCTTGTTTTAATGATGTTTGCTTTAAATATTTTTAATTTTAAAGTCTAGAACCCATAAAATCTATGCTAAACCTAGAACATTCGCTAGTTTACTCTCTTTGAATGTTTTGAAAAGGACCAGAAATGAGATTTAAGATAGACATTTATTTTTATCTGTTTAGCCTGATCATTCATTTTGTACTAGTTGCTAATTAATTCTTAAATCTACAGTATGTAAGGGATTAAACACAACAGATTTGGGCAACATTTTGTTTAGTGTCTTTATCTTCAGCATTACAATAAGCACTAAGGATTTTATTTTTATTAATTTTTAAATTTATTTTATAGTTATGGGGTACATGTGAAGATTTGCTTCATAAGTAGATTGCATGAAGGCAAGATCTGGGCTACTAGTGAGCCCTCTCTTGCACTCGGGATTTCAAAAAGTGAATTGTCTCTTTTCCTATAATACTGAGAATACATGATAGTTATCTCCCCATGTACAATAATGTATGTATATAATTCAAATAATGTGTTTCAATGCTAAGATAGAAGTATGTACAAGGTGATACAGGAGTGTGAAAGGGAGAGGTTGTTTCCCCAGGGGGAGTAGTAGAGTCAATGAAGAAAGGGAATAGCTGCTAACAGTACTGATTCTTGCATTGCATCCCGAATGACCATGGCCATACTTTGAGAACCACTGTTCTATATCCAACTGAGAGAAAATGGAAGGAGATGGCAGGCAAAACTGATGGACTAGACCCAGAGATGTCTTTAATTCTGCCTACATTTTATTGATTACAGCTCAGTCACAAGGCTTCGCATAACTGCAGAGGAGGCTGGAAACTGTAGTCTAATTGTGAATTTAGAAAAAAGATAAATGATTGGTTTACAACCCTATAGCCTCTACCACAGGAGGGTTTGGCCCATCATTTAATGAGGGAAACAGCCAAGGTTAGGACAGATAACTCAGGACAAGCTCATTTGCTTGGGCAGGTCCTTGAGAACAGCAGGATACATTGTTTCTTGGAATGATAAATGAGATTATGTTAATAAAATAACTCCTTAAAAATATTTACATGTGTCAGTGATTAAGGTACTTGAAATTTAAGCAGAAATCTTTATTTTATATCTTTCATTTGCGTTGAATTATCACTAAGCTTCAGAAAGTAACAGTACTTTTTCATACTTGAAATAGTTACTGTTTAAATGAGGATGCTGTATTTACTTCTTACTCTATAGTTAATGTCAGGCAAAATCAATCTCTTCGAAAGTTAAACGGAAACTGCATTTATGAAAGGGAAGATGAAGAATAATGGCTTTAGATTGTACGGTTAGTTCTACAAGCATGCCAAACGAATGGACTACAGTACAAATAATAATAATATCCAGCACTTATTGCCTTACACAGTGGAAACTGAAGATAGTTTAATAGTAATATACATGCATTTTAGATCTATTAGCTCATTTAACCCTTACAAAAAATCCTGTGAATGAAACCAGTATTGTTATTATTATTCCCATTTCACAGATGATATAACTGAGGTTCAGAGAGATAAAGTTATTGGCCTATATAGCTAATAAGTAGCAGAGCTGGGATTTACATTCAATCAATCTGCCTTTAGAGGTCAAAGTCATGCCTGCTGTTCTGTACTTCCTTGAAACAGGAGCCCTAAGGTGAAGGGACTGGCACAAAGGGCAGGAAGTTCTTTTGAGCTTTGTGTTTGTACATCAGTAGGCTTGGGACAGTTGCTTAGGGCCTAAAAAAGTGAATTTTGACTCTAAACATGTTGTTTTAAGATATTGGCAGACTATTTGCTCTTCCAGTTGCTTTATCTGTCCTGGCATAGATAGCAATATAAGCAGCTCCTGGCCTGCAGGAGAACCCCAGAACAAATCACTGGAGGAGAGAAGGAAATTCTTTTTTTTTTTTTTTTGAGTTGGAGTCTCACTCTGTCACCCAGACTGGAGTGTCGTGGCTGCTCCTGGTCACTGCAGCCTCGATCTGCTGGGCTCCGGCGATCCTTCCGCCTCAACCTTCCAAGTAGCTGGAACTCTAGGCGTGCACTACCACACCCGGCTAATTTTTTGATTTATTGTAGAGATGAGGTCTCACCAAGTTGCCTAGGCGGGTCTCGAACCCGCAGGCTCAGGCAATCCACTCACCTCAGCCTCCCAAGATGCGGGATTACAGGCTGAGCCACCGAGCCCGGCGAGAAGGAGATTCTTTTTGTGATTATATGTCTAAGTAATTTCTTTCTTTCTTTCTTTCTTTTTGCAGACAAGACCATCCTTGTGGATACAGATCTTCCATCCCTGAAAGGGCTTTACGTGATGGGGACTTTAGACTTCCCTGTGGACAGAAGCAATGTTCTGAGTGTAGCATGCATGGTTATTGCAGGCGGGGAACTGAAAGTCGGTGAGTAAAGGCACAAGGATTGGAAGTGTGCTGGGAATTAGACTTCTGGGAAAACATTGTTATCACCAAGTAGGTTGCTTAACAGAGTTGGGGAAATGAGTTTACTAGCTGTTCTGTGGCAAGCTTTAGATGTGACCAGAAGTAAAATGTATTGACCATTCTCTTGTGCCCACACACTGTCATCAGACCATGTTTCTATCCCCAGCATCCTGATGTTGCTTCCCATTCCTGGACTCTTTTGGCCTCCTCCAGGCTGTAGATCAATCCTCCCTTTAGTTCTTTATGTTAGAATATACCTATGGCTCACTCTTGTAGAAGATATTGTAGGATAGATTTGGTAACTTGTGGTCAACTAACTCAACACAATTTCAATCGCTATCTTAATATAGTTCTCTGGGAAAACAGACTTGAAAGCAAAGCTCATATGCTAGTACATACTGGGGTGAATAATCCCAAAGAAGCAAAAGAGAAGGGAAAAGAGAACAGAGAGAGGGGAAAGGATGGAAAGCAAACCCAGGGAGCCATAACTTCTCAAGGAAACATGCTTGTGCTTGGTTATATGGGATACCTTGAGAGAAGCCTAGTTAGAACCATCACACCTTGGGACACTATGAGGCAGTAGGGAGAAGGTCATCTGGGTCACTCCAAAGTCATTAACTCCTCAGTCTTTTTATTTGTTTGTTATTTTCATGGCTCTCTGGGCAGGTAGTAAATGGCCAGACCCAGTAGGTGCTAGGAAATAAGGCTCCTTCAGCTGAGGAGTGAGGCATGGTGCTGGGGTCACAGGATGGCCTGGATCTGGGGTAGTGCATTAACTACCCCCTCAGCTACATTCACTTACTTAAATAAAAGCATGAGTTGTTATGGGTAGACTATGCACTTGACACTGTTGAAGCAAAAAGTGTAAATGATGGAAAGACATGCTCTGTCCCCAAAGGAACTACATTAGAACTTAGCAGGGCATTCTACTTTGAGTCCAAAATGAACAGTAAAAGAGAATCTCAGAAATAATATCTTATTCCAGAAATGAATTGCTAGTGGTAAGGAAATATTTAGACATCTTTTTTTGTAATACTGAAATTTTAGAATCTCTGGTGGGAGGAAATTCTTGGCATAACCACCTATACACTATCTGTACAGCTTAAGTCACTGTAATAAGATTCCTGAAAAATTATGATCCACCCTTTTCTTGAATACTTCTGGTGTTGAAAAAGTCAAATCTTTTTAAGGCAACCAATTCCCATTGTTTAAAATTCTTTTGTTCTATGAAGCTAAAGTCTGTCTTCCTCTAATTTCTGTAGGTTCAAGTTGTTCCACTCGAGACATTTAGGACAATTATCAGACTCCCTTTTCCTCCATTGCATTTCATTCATACTTTCTTGAATCTTCTCTCTTTGGGGTTAAACGGTTCCTATTATTTTAATCATGGTTCATAGTTATTGCTGTTTTGAGATTTGTTCAGTCTATTGTACAAAAATGTAAATGCAGACAAGAAAATAGAGATGTATAGAGGAAATGAAGCCGTCTTTCATATTTCCAAATGCAAATATAACCATAGTTAATATTTTGATCTCAAAACCATGTTTTTCACACATACATACATGCACACATACTCTTTAAAACATAGGATATACAGTTTTATAATCATTTTGATTTTATATTAACAATGTAAAAATTTCCCTGACTCATTATATTTCAAAGGCCCAATTTTAATAATTATAATTTATATAATATATGGGAATACATATATTACATTATACATACATATGTAATAATTTATTTAACGATTTTTAAACATCTAGGTTATATTACATTTTGTACTTGTAGCTCACTCAGCAATGACCATCCTACAATTAGATCATTATTCATATCTTTATTTCCTTGGGAGGGACTTTTATACATGGAATTAACTGGGCTGAGAGAGAAATGTTTTTTAAGGTCTTTGATACATATTGCCAAATTATTTTTCAGAAAGATTTTCCAAATGTGCACACTCTCCCTATTTCTCAGAGTCTTGAAATCTCATTCTTCTAGGTATTGCCTCTAAACACACCTTTGTTTTGTTAAATTCTTATGACAGCCAAGGTAAAAGAACTATTCCCAGGTGGACCTAACCTATTCTGAACAGAGATGAGTCTAGTAGTTAACAAAACAGGTTCTATATCATATACTGATGGGAACAAATTCACCTTTGCCACCTGCTTGCTGTTTTACCTTAAGCAAGACAAACTCTAAACATCTCTATTTCTTCATCTGCACCATGCATAGGGTAACAATAGAACCTTCCTCAGGAAGATGTTGAAATCATTAAGCATAACAACTTACACTAAGTGCTTGGCATATAGCATGTGTTCAACAGATATTAGTTTATCAGGCAGGGTACCCACATAAAATAAATGGCATGTGAATTAGACAATCTGAGGAGATTTAAAATAAAGGAGCTATTTATAAAAATCCAAATGAGTTGGCACACACCCCAGGGCTAGTAAAGTTGGACATCTTGACTACCCCTTGCAGCAAAGGAAAAAGAAAAGGAAGTGGTTTCTGGGATCCAGAGGTGGACAGGGATGTCTGGAGATGGTGATCAGACGGAGGCATGGTCTTTTGCATGGATAGTACTCAATTACTACAAGGAAGGAACTATGAAAATGAGTGTTCTTACCTCAGTCTCTTGCCTCTGTCCTGTCTTCTGCTCGTGTTACCACTTGGCCACACCCGACTAGAAGTCAGAGTAAAGGAGAACTTGTTGATACAGTACATATAGGTCATCAGTATTGTGGGGCACTGGGCAGAGTGAAGAGCAGAACGTGGAAATGGAAGTGTCAATAAAAGCTCTCCAAAACAGCCAGCCTCCATCTGTTAGAACAGTTATGATTCTTCCATTAATACATCCAAATATTCACTTCTGCCCACATCATGCTGTTAGTCCTACCAACTGTATCATCAATTCGAATTTCTACTCTTTTCATATATATCTCTACATTGTATACTTGTGTAGAGCTTATTTTGTTTGCCTCTGGGTTTTAGAGGAAACTAAGAACAATGCTCTTTTACTCATCTCTTCATTTTACTATTTCTGTCCGTCTTTCTACACTGGTGAAATTGGATTCTGATCTTTTCCTCCCAGATAACTATCATTAGCCCAATTATTTGATATTCTATAAAAATCCTTATTTAATTAGCTGATAGAGATATCAATAAAATTGAGCCCTGTTCTTGTTATTGGAAAACTTGTTTCAGGTTGATATCTTCTATTGCTAAGGTTGGTCTTTTAAAAATTTTTTTAGTAAGTTATATTTACATTTCTGAGATCACCTATTACTATAATATATAGGTTGTTGCTTGAAAAAAATCTGTATTTTAAAAGGGAGGTAACACTGTGCCACTTTGCCAGTTTTACTTTATACATTTCAAATCTCATTTTAAAATGTCTCCATTCCCAGGTCTATTTTCACCCATCATAGATAATGGTGTATTCTTTTACTCCTTGCTTTATCCATGTGTTCAAGGCCTAAAGGTTGCTTATTGGAACCCATCTGCCCAATTCCATGTGTATTATGCCTGAAGGAAGACTTTCAACCCATCTGTCCAATTTCACCACACCCTAAAGAAATCCCAACATGAAATAGATAATAAGACTAGTTAGTAAACAAACTTAATAGATGTGGACATTGGCACGGAGCACTGCCAGAGTGTGCCTGCTATCTGATGCCATTTGATCCAAGTTCCAACATTGTGAAATTATATTTCTTGGTGGTCCTGCTTTTAAGGCAACTGGTGCTGGCAAAGGTATCAATAGACTTTTAGTAGAGTTGAATCGTAGAATGCTAGGATTAGAAAGGAAGTTCAAGATCAAAGCTGTGCTTAGAGGGCTACAGCTGCATCACAAATGCCAAATTCAATTTCATTCTTTGTTCAGTGCTTGTCTCATTAGTCTGATAAAACATTTGAGATAAGCTTAAAGCATTTCACTGTGTGTCCATTCTTACATTCATCATGTATTTACTCAATGCCTACCATGTGCCCAGTGCAGAAATGGAAATCATGAACTGAACCCTAACTTTCAAGAGGTATCTCAATAAAATAGTAGGACAAACAAGTAAAAACGTAATTGTAACGGTCATGTCTTTCAACCTCGAGGGGGCTCAAAGATAAGGAAGAAATGTGAGCAGGTACATATTTATAGATAAGCATTCTGCCTTCAGGAAATTGTTAGGAATGGGTATGTCTGGATTGAAGGATTTATAGGGAATGATGGTAATAGTGAAGCTTCTTGGACTTATACACTATGCTAAGGAGTTTTGATTTTATGATTTTTTTTTAAGGCAGTAAGTAGTCACCAGATAGTTTTAAGCAGGGAAATGACATGATTAGATTTGGTCAAGAAAGATTACCCCAGCAGTGTGTGTGTGGGTGAAGGGGTGGGGGTGTGGATTAGAAAGTGAAAAGTAGGAAGGCTGCTGAGGTGCTTCAGGAAAGAAACTGTAAAGGAAGGAAGCAAGACATTGAAGTTAAAGGGGAAATAATAAATTAAAGAAGCATTGAGAAGGTAAAAATCACTAGAACCTAGTGACTATTTTGATGTGAGGTGAGGAGGAAATGTTTAGAATACAACCTAGGTTTGAGGTTGGGAGATCTGTGTCAGTGAGGGTGTCAAGAATGAATATTATTCCCATCATTTGTTAGTTGAGTAACCCTGGACAAGTTACACAAACTAGCTCTGTCTCAGTGGGAATAATAATAGTACATATTTCATAGAGTTTTATAAAAGTTGAATCAGTTAATATTTACTCAAGTGCTTGAACAATACTGGACATGTAGTAAACTCCTACAGTGTTCTTTGTTTGTTTGTTTGTTTGAGTCAGGGTCTCACTCTGTCACCCAAACTGGAGTGCAGGGGCATGATCACAGCTCACGGCAGCCTCAACTTCTTGGGATCAGGCCATTCTCCTGCCTCAGTCTCCTGAGTAGCTGGGACTACAGGTGTATGCCACCACACC